CCCCCCCCCCCCCCCCCCCCCCCCCCGTTCCCATTCCTAGGCACCTGCTAACCTGCTTTCTGTTTTTACAGGTTGGTCTCTTCTGACAGTTTCACATAAAAGAAATCGCACAATGTGTAGCCATTGGTGATTGGCTTCTTTTACTTGGCATCATGTTTTCAACCTTCGTCGATGTGTAGCATGACCTCTGTTATCTCTTGCCACTGCCCTTTTATCTTGTCAACTTACACTTTCTCTAGTTGCAGCTTTCCTGCTTCTGACTTCACCACTGCCTATTTCTGTTAACCAGTTCCAGATTCTTTAGAGCAGTGTTCTGTGCCATAGAATTTTCTGTGATGATAAAAATGTTCTCTGCCTCTGCTATCCTGTACAGTAGCCAGTGGCCAGTCTTACTGACTTGCTCTGTGTAGCCGTAAGGAACTTGATTGGCCTGTCCTGTCCTTCTGTTTTAGGAATAGGTCTTAGATTTCTGGCTAGCCAGTAGATTAGTTTGCTGGGTTAAGATCCACCCCCTGGTCTAGTTAGCTGGGGCCAAGGGATAGGAGAAGGAGGCAGAACATCAACTCTGCCCTCCTCAGCTGGGCCTGGGGCCAGAAAGTTTTGAGCGAGCGATAGGAGAAAGAAGAGAGGGTTCAAGAATTCTGAACAAATGTGTACTTTAGAAATAAAGCTCTTTGTTTTCTCTCTCCTGTCTCCCATCTCCCAAATCGTTTCGCTCTTTTCCTGTGGCGTGTTCCATCAAGAATCAGGGTAGACAGGGCAGCCTCTGGTCCTGATCTTTCATAATTTCTCATTCTTAAATAATTTGCCAGTTGCTGCCAGGAGCAGAAACGTAAAAAGAGCTATGTTGGTGCTGTGCCTGTCCTCTAAAACACTTGCTGCCTCCTCCTCTCCCTACTTACCTCACTGCTACAGGCCCCGCTTTTCCGCTCTTCCATTCTGCTCTCAGGTCAGTACTTTCACAAAGGATAAGAGTTTCCATAGACTTGCCTCTTAGGAGTGATGGGGACAGGATAGATATTTCTCCAGAGGGCTGAATTCGTGGTTCTTGAATACGCATAATAAATACCAGTAATTGATGACCACTGACTCTGTAGAGCTCTCCATCAATGGGGAGATAAGGCACACATTTGAAAGTATTTTTAGTGACATATAGACTAAATGCCGTACATGGGTGTTGTGGGCTCCTTGCCATATCACACTGAGAGTCTTGTCCCCAGGTGACTTTTTTGTGCAATGGTGACTTTTAACTAAGGACAACATGCATACTGGAGTTATGTGTGGAAGGTTGAGGATAGGACATTGTTCTCTGACACAGTAACAGTTGATTACCCACATTTTCCTTACTCACCAATACATACACATTTCACACAGTGTCTGGCTTATATAACTAAGTGCCCAGTATTTGTTAGAGGAAGGAATAAGTCAGTGCAAAAACTCTAGTTACCTGATAGCCACGACTCTTCAACCTGGCCTAATTTGCTGTGCACTAGAAGTGTTTCTCAGATTGGTGAAGGACAGTGTTCTATGCCTGCTACCACCCAACTTATAAACCACAGTTCAAAACAGTTCAGTAGAAAAACAAACTAATAAGGTGTAAGCTTGCATTTTGTATCTTATTTATTTATTTATTTTATTTTTTTTTAAGATTTTATGTATTTATTTGACAGAGATCACAAGTAGAGAGAGGCAGGCAGAGAGAGAGGAGGAAGCAGGCTCCCTACTGAACAGAGAGCCCGATGCGGCTTGATCCCAGGACCCTGGGATCATGACCTGTGCCCAAGGCAGAGGCTTTAACCCACTGAGCCACCCAGGTGCCCCAGCATTTTGTATCTTTTTATTATCACTAGATTGAATATATATAAAATTACTTAGCTCAGTTGCTGTAGAAGTTTCTAAAAGGTTAAGTGTGAAGATTTCCCCTGGTCCTTGGGCACTTTGAATAGCCCTGGTCTAGGGGATTCTTCCAGCTAATGAAACAGTACACACGCTGAGGGGGGGAAAGGGGGGTACATGGAGTGGGTGGACATGAAGAAACGGGGAAGGATTTGGAGAGTAAAGCGAGAAAGGGAGGGCATTTATCTAGAATGCCAAGTCTCTACGATACTTTTGGATAAACCATAATTCATATATATTAACTCTGCTTATGCTTTGGCACTAAACTGAGATGTAGAAAATTTAGAAATGGCACACAAATGCAGAAGAAAGGGACAGACAGAGCTGTTGCCTCCAGTGTAATTATGAATTGATAAACCTCCACCTCTTTTCAAAAATAGTGTCAACATCATTATCATCAAAACATATTCTGAGCACCATTTGGGTTCTCAGTTAACCCTCCTTTAGAACAGAAATATGATTAAAGACCGGCAGCATTTTAATAAAATCATATTAAAGCTGGTAATTGAACTTGTTGGAGGCAAATTGTAGGGAGCGAACACCATTGTTTCATTAGTTATGGGACTTTTTTTTTTTTTTAATCATAGTAGCATGAGTTCTGTTAGAATATTGTGATTAAGCTTCTAAAAGCAACTACAAGTATATTTTTACAAAAACTTGCCTCACACAGTTTTGAATCAGTAAAGGAAAGCCAGTAAAACAGTGCATTTCAAAACACTTGGGCAAAAAAGAATATTGATCCTGCGAGAACCAAATAATCACAGGCGATACTAGCTGCTCTTTAATTTGTGAGCCCTCTTTGTGCACAACATTCATTTTTATCAGGATTAGTTGCTTAAATTCAGTGGGGAGTTATTGAGAACACGAAATTGCTCCTATGGCACATCTGAGTACTTCTTTGAACTAGGTGCTATGCCAGGGGTGGCTGCAAGAATGAATCGCAAATAAAACACTTTCTGCCTTCAAGGAACTGTCAGTCTAGTTGGGAGAGGGAGATAGCTGCCAGATGATGCTAAAAGATGGGAATATTATAATGAAGGTGGAAATGGAGTACTCTCTGAGTCCTGACGAAGCTGACTAACCTGAAAGCCGTGATAAGAGTTGCTCTATCTATGCCATTTGTCTTAGACTTTTGATATTTAGTGCTAGATTCAGTCAAGGTGTTGTGTAAATAGCCCCTGTGGGTTTTCAGTTATGAGACATTTAGGAATTAACAGGGCTCCTGGGTGGCTCAGTCATTAAGCACCTGACTTGATTTCCAGTCAGGTCGTGATCTCAGGGTAATGGGATAGAGCCCTGGGGCTCCACACTCAGTGGACAGTTTGCCCGAATTTCTCCCCTGCTTCCTCTGCCCCTCCCCCAGCACTTGGGGACGCGCTTGCCGAGTGCTCCCTCCCTCCGGCAGTCAAATCTTTTTAAAAAAGAAATACAGGAGTTAAAATATGGAGGTTGGACCCCCTGCGGAGATTCAGCCTTTTCAGGGGTTCAGATAGAGTTCAGAAGCTAGCCGTGGTGGGAGGCCGCCTGGGTGGCTCAGTTGGGTAAGCAACTGTCTTCAGCTCAGGTCACGGGATCCAGTCCCACACTGGACTCCCTGCTCAGTGGGGAGTCTGCTGCTTCCTCTAACCTTCCCCTGTCTCATGCTCTCTCTCTTTCTCAAATAAATTTTAAAAAAGAAGATAGTGGTGGAAAAGCTATTGTTTTGCTAGAAAACTAGTGTTTTATTTAGTGTTGATATTAGGACATGGCAAATTTGAATATGATGAAGCGATTTCTGGATTAAGCACACACTAACAGAATAGTTAACCATGCTGGTTGTTCGGAATTTAAGTTCCAAACTTAAATTAGTGGTTGAGATGAATGCTAAGAGTAAGATCTTGGGCAGTGGTAGGAGAAGGACTTTGATTCATTCTGGAAATATTTGTAGTCCAGGAAGGACTCTCCCTAGGTTTTTGGCAGTGGAGGGATAAAAATGAAGGTATTTTAGTAGGATCATTACAAGTTTGATGTGATAGGATTGTGACAGTCTAAAAGGCAAAGCTTTTCTTGCTTTCCTCCCTCTTCCTACTCCCCTCCCCCATTGGGTGGGGCTCAAACTCACAGCCCTGAGATCAAGAGTCACATGGTCTACTGTCGAGCCAGCCAGACGCCCCAGGCCAACATTGTTTTACTCTTTTCTTAGCTCAGGCCTTGGAAATCAAGTGCTTCTCTTCCAAAATCTACTAAAAGAAAACTTTTACCTGTCACGTATATATCGGGAGTCCTGAATCTTATCCATAATCAATAGTCCTTTCTGATTTTTATGTATATTTTAAAAAGTTTTCTTAACTGTGCTTCAAAACAATGAAAACTTGCATAGAAACTTTACCTCTTAAGTTCTGAGAATTCTCATGCTAGACAAGGAATGAGTGCTGCTTAGTTCTTTAGTTAAAACCCAGATTTCCTGATCAGAATGTGACTTTAGTTTGGGATCTAATGGAAGGCGTGGCCATGGGTGAAGGTGAGGATGGGGGAACTCTGGTATATTGAATGGAAATAGTAAAAAGGAGTAGAATTCTTTCCCCCTACTTTTTCAGAAAGTAGTTGAGATGTTTAAAGAAAAGTAACATCCCCCTGGAGAGCACTGTGAATACGTAAAAGAAGCTCTATTTTGTTTCATGCAGCTCAAAGAAAATGAACGGCACCCTGGACCACCCAGACCAACCGGATCTTGATGCTATCAAGATGTTTGTGGGCCAGGTTCCGAGGACCTGGTCTGAGAAGGATTTGAGGGAACTCTTTGAACAGTATGGTGCTGTCTATGAAATCAATGTCCTAAGGGATAGGAGCCAAAACCCTCCTCAGAGCAAAGGTAAGGGCTTTGGGTTTTATAGGTAGTTTTTTTCTTGTGCGTGCTGTCACTCATTGCCAGAATGCTCCTCTGTTCACATTCTAAAGGGAGGAAATATGTCCTTTTATAGTAGTTACATTTTCCAGACCAAACACATTTAATGGCATAAAAATAAAAAGTTAAGGTGACGTCATGAAGATAATTTGTAAATTGGATTGTAGGTGGTCCTTTGTGAGAGCTCTAAATTCAAGAGACAGACTCGTGAGTGTGTGCATGTCTCTCCTTTTTTTTTTTTTTTAATGTGAGTGTCTCTTAATCTTGGGAATGGAATGACAAAGTTGAAATAAATAACTGCGTAAGGTTTTGTTTGGTGTTTTGGCTAGACTAAGCTGAAAGAAAAGGACTGTCTACACCATACCTGTGGATTTCTGTTAGTGTTACAGAGGCCTTGCAGGATGGCTTAGCAACCAGGACGGACCTGTTTGTAGGTAACCTGTTTGTTGTAGCCTACACGATGAATGGAAAAAAGACGGAGCTACTTCCAGAAATACCTACCAGAGTGGAAGCTTTATGAAAGCAGTGGTAGAAAAGCCATTAGCTTTGCCCTGTACATGCACCTACAGTATTCCTTCCAAATAACCGATTTCAGAATAATAATCTGGGGAAGCTGTTCTGCAGTGCAGATGGGAGCAAGAAGGATTGCTATGTTTGAAGCCAGCTTAGTAACAGGATCTAGGAGCAGAGAAATTATTTTCTTTTTGTGGCATAGTTAACCGAAAATAAAAAGAATTGTAGTTTCTGAAAATGACTGGTGATATAACATGCAGTGATTTAGAATCTTAATTGCAGTGATTTTGAAAGGAATCAGTATTGTGTATCGTGGGACTAGGAACCCATATTTATAAGACGCACTTCTCCCTTCCTGTCCCTAATAAAGATACAAAGCACAAAATCTGCAGATCTCCTCAGTCCGGGCCATGTGCTGTTAGAAGCTTAATTATATTTGATTAAAACCAAGGGTCCAAAAAAGGATATTAAGAGTTTCTTGCCCTTTAGTCATTTTATAACTTAATAAATGATAATTATGTTTGAGGCATATGGTAGAAATTGGCTACAATGTAAGGAGGGATTTATTCTGAGAAAGAATGAGTTCCTGGTAGACTACAAGTCACAGGAATGCAGGGCCCTGTCTCTTTTGTTTGTTCCTGCATGTCTTGCCCAGCACACTTACCTGGTGCTCCAAGTAGGGTGGGTTGGATGACATGGTACTATGACATTGGTAAGGGAAGTTGTCTTTCCCAGAGAAGTTAGAGGAGCAGCTAAAGAATTTTAGTAGAACTCACAGACTGTAACATAAAGAAAATGCACAGAGAGTAATATAAGGGTTTTTCTGCTTCTCTCCCTCTCCCCCTTCTCTCTCTTGGAAGCAGTTGGCGGGGGGTTGCTAATTTTAATAAACCTAGCTTTCTCTTTGAAGTTCCAGCATATCCACGGAGGGGGGAGTATTCCAGGAATTGCCTGCTTTCAAAGGTGATTTGTTGAAATTTTATTTATTTCAGGGTGCTGTTTTGTTACATTTTACACCCGCAAAGCTGCATTAGAAGCGCAGAATGCTCTTCACAACATGAAGGTCCTCCCAGGGGTAAGAATTCTCCTACCAGTAAGTGGAACTGTGGAGGTTTTGACATCCGGAACATAACTTACACATGTCAGGCACATACTGAAGAACCATTTTGAGGAAAAGGTGACTGCCAGAGTCATTGATACAGAGGAGAACATAAAGGGAACATTTCAAAGAAGATAGGCTGAAAGTGGTTTAGTTCTCTCTTAGCCAAGAGAATTTTGACTTCTTGATTCTCATTCTGTCTATTTTGATATTTTGGGAAGAAATGATCATGAGGCAGATGTAAGGCCAGAGAAGATTCTTAAGGCTCTAGTTTCAGTATTGCCTTTAGAGTCCTCATTTATGTTTCTGTGCCTTCAGTGTGTACAGTGATGATATGTATGTGTTTTCCTTTTTAGATGCACCACCCTATACAGATGAAACCTGCTGACAGTGAGAAGAACAATGGTAAGCAGTTGTGTAAAGCCCTCCCCTGATTAGGTTTTTTCTAGTTTACTATTCGTTCTGATGGTATCTGGATTGTATTTGCTTTAAGCAATCATTTGTTTTTGTTTTTTTTTTTAACTGACATCTAAGTGACAAAATGTGTGCAGCATAATGATTCAGTCCTTGTTTATATTAGAAATGATCTCCCATGGTAAGTCTGGTCAGTATCTGTCACCATACAAAGTTCTAAAAATGTTTTTCTTTTGATAAGAATTTTTAAGATCTACTTTTTTTTTTTTTTAAGATTTTATTTATTTATTTGTCAGAGAGAGAGAGGAGCGAGAGCGAGCACAGGCAGACAGAGTGGCAGGCAGAGGCAGAGGGAGAAGCAGGCTCCCCGCCAAGCAAGGAGCCCAATGTGGGTCTCAATCCCAGGACGCTGGGATCATGACCTGAGCCGAAGGCAGCCGCTTAACCAACTGAGCCACCCAGGCGTCCCTAAGATCTACTTTCTAAGCAACTTTTTTTTTTTTTAATTTTTTTTTTTTTAAGATTTTATTTATTTATTTGCCAGAGAGAGAGAGCGAGCGAGCACAGGCAGACAGAATGGCAGGCAGAGGCAGAGGGAGAAGCAGGCTCCCTGATGAGCAAGGAGCCTGATGTGGGTCTCAATCCCAGGACGCTGGGATCATGACCTGAGCCAAAGGCAGCTGCTTAACCAACTGAGCCACCCAGGCGTCCCTTTCTAAGCAACTTTTAAATATACAATACAGTACTGTTAACTAGTGACCATGTTAAATTATTTTATAATGGGAAGTTTGTACCTTTTGATCCATTTTGCCCTTTTTCCCCAGTCCCTTATGCCCGAACTTTGGCAACCACTAGTCCTGTTCTGTGTATCTGTGAACTTCCGGATGTGTGTGTGTGTGTGTGTGTGTGTGTGTGTGTGTGTGTGTGTTTTGTTTTTTAAGGTTTTACTTGTAAGTGAGAGCATACAGTATCTTTCTCTGACTTATTTCATTTAGCATCATGCCCTCAGGGTCCATCCACATTGTCACAAATGACAAGATTCCATGCTTTTTTATGGCTGAATAGTATCTGCAGTGTGTGTATGTGTGTACACACATTTTCTTTATCTGTTCATCTGTTGATGGACACATTTCCATTTCTTGGCTCTTGAAAGTAATGCTGCAGTGAACATGGGTGTACAGCTTTTTTGGGTAAGATTTTATTTTTACATAATCTCTACAACCAGTGGGAGACTTGAACTCCCAACCCCACGATGGAGAGTCGCACACTCCACTGACTCGGCCAGCTAGGCGCCCTGGGGGTGCAGCTTTTTGAGTTAGTGTTTTCATTCTCTTCTATTTCTGTTCTTGTTTGCACTCGCTTTCTCCCTCTCTCAAATATTTATCTTTTTTAAAGATTTCATTTATTTAAGAGAGTGAGAGAAACAGAACGAGCAGGGGGAAAGACAGAGGGAGAGGGAGAAGCATACTCTTTGCTGACCAGGGAACCCAACCTGGGGCTTGATTTCAGGACTCCGGGATCATGACCTGAGTTGAAGGCAAATACTTAACTGATTGAGCCACCCAGGTGCCCCTAAATAAAATCTTTAAAAATGATAATAATAAATTGTTTTTTTTTTCCTTAAATACGGTAAATAATGAGATAAATAGAGTTGATAGGTAAACAGTATAAGAACATTTTAGGGTAAAATGGGATGTCTTTGATCAACATAATTTCTTAGGGACAGAAATGGGGGTGGGAGGATGGACAGACTAAGGAGGAGAACTTAGTCCTTAAGAGATGAATCAAAAAAAGAAAAATGACAATTACACTCACTGAAAGGTGTGTTGTGTTTCTCTTGTCATATTAGGTCAGTGTGAAAACTTGTCCTTTGGTGCAGTAGTACTGCTAGTAAGAACAAACATCACTAAGTGCTACACAAGATGCTGAGTGCTTTGCATTTAAAACCTAAAGCTGCCTTTTTTTCTTTTTGGTTTTTTTTTTTTTTTTTTTAAGATTTTAACTATTTATTTGACAGAGGTCACAAGTAGGCAGAGAGGCAGGCAGAGACAGAGAGAGAAGGGGAAGCAGGCCCCCTGCTGAGCAGAGAGCCCAATGCGGGGCTGGATCCCAGGACGCTGGGATCATGACCTGAGCTGAAGGCAGAGGCTTTGAGCACTGAGCCACCCAGGCACCCCTACAGCTACCTTTGAGATGAACGTCATTATCCCTATTAATCAGGTGACAATCATGGAATGGCTAAGTAACTTTGACAAGATGACAGAACTACTGTATGTCATCTAAATGCTTCCTGTTTAAATTTTAAGGTACAATTGATTATAAGAGGAGGTGCTAAATGATGAAAAAATGCTTATCTTAGAATCCAGGGAATATGATATATAGGCATAGAGCCAGGATTCAAATATAGACAGTCTGACCCCAGAGTCTGTGCTACACTACGTCTTGTAGTTATAATGTTCAAGCCTTTCGTGTTTTACTCTCTTAGCAGTGGAAGACAGGAAGCTGTTTATTGGTATGATTTCCAAGAAGTGCACTGAAAATGACATCCGAGTCATGTTCTCTTCATTTGGACAGATTGAAGAATGCCGGATATTACGAGGACCTGATGGACTGAGCCGAGGTAGGTATATTTCTAGCTTTTAAAGATACTTAAATTTGGAGTCTCTTTTAGTTGGAGCAGTGGAAACCAATGATCCCTACCCAACATGGCCTTGTCTTGATGGAGAGGTTGGGCTTGGTGTTGTAAGTCTAGGTCCCATCATGGCTCCTCCTACCAGTTGATTCCTTTAGAATTGTCCCAGCCCCCTAAAGAGTCTACATTCTGCACTATAGTTTCATGTGTTAAAATTTTCTCTTTTTGTGCTTGGAGAGGTCCTTAATGCCAAAGTGGAACACTTTCTTCTCAAGAGGAACTAGAGGATTGTGATTCCTCCTTTATCCCTTTATCGAGTTCGTTCTTTCCTGTTGTGCTTCGCAGGTTATTCATGAAAGCACATAGCACTGTTATGATGTGTCTGTCTCCTCCACTAGATCTTAAGCCCCTTGAAGGCAGGAACCATATCTGTATTGCTAGCATAGTACTTGGCACATAATAGGTGCTCACTAAATGTCTATCAGATAATTAATAAGCAAATGAATGAATGAGTTATTGACACTTCTCTTACCAGGTTGTGCATTTGTGACTTTTACAACAAGAGCCATGGCACAGACGGCTATCAAGGCAATGCACCAAGCACAGACCATGGAGGTAGGGAGCAGATGACTGAAAAGGGAAAGTTCCTTAGCCTGAGAGTACTAGGACAGTTGGCCATCAAAGCTCTGCAGCATGTACAGCATCCGATTGCCCTAAAGGTTAAGCAGGCTAAACATCTTAAATGAAAAAAAAAAAAATAATAATAATGCTCTCTTTGAAATTAACGTACTTGAAGTAGCCCTTTTAAATTTGTCTTTTGCCACTTGTGTCTATCAGGAAGAGAGTCATTTGGCAGTGAGTGAAATTAGAATGCATCCTGTGTGTCACTACAAAGGAGGATTTTTTTTTTCCTTCATGCAGAAGGAGGAATTTGACCCTTTGGCTTTGGTGTTTTCATAGGGTTGCTCATCTCCTATGGTGGTAAAATTTGCTGATACGCAGAAGGACAAGGAACAGAAGAGAATGGCCCAGCAGCTCCAGCAGCAGATGCAGCAAATCAGCGCAGCATCTGTGTGGGGAAACCTTGCTGGTCTAAATACTCTTGGACCCCAGTATTTAGCAGTGAGTCTTTGTGGTTTGCTTTCTGCAGACTGTGCAAGCTCTCAGCTGTTTCTTCTTGTGCTGTCCCTAGCTAATAATGTCAAATTTTTTCGTAAAACTTCAGGCAGTGCAATATTCTTTATGTTAGTATATCTGTTTCACCATCTCTCTCTTTTCTCTCATTACACATCTTGGGTTATATCTTGAGACTTTGCTACTATTAAAGTGAAATCCTGATTTCCTGATATAAAGATTTAGAAATACCTTGTATGTCCCTGTCCCTTTAGTTTTTTTAAAAGAAGATCTTGAGGAAATTTTAACTGCCAAATATCTTTCTCCATAGTTCTTTCTCCCAGATGTAGAGGCATCTTTAAAGTCCTTATCGAGTCCTCCCTGAAGAGTATGATAAATGTTTCTTTCCACTGACTAAGAGGTCAAGATATTGACATGGACATTATTAAATGAGTATTACAGGTGTCTATTTGAGTTGTAGACAGCATTGTAAATAGGTAGATCCTTTAATTTGATCTTGCTTTTGTTAGTTTGAGTCGTGTAGTCCAAAGGCTCCAGTTTGTTATTTAGATTCTCTAGATCTACGGTACATATTACAGGGGATCACCACTGCTTTAACCCTTAAAAGAATAGCAGACAGTGCAAGACGCTTAAAACTGTCTCATCTGTGAAGCTGTCACCGAAGGAAAATCGGTGGTGAAACCATTAGATGTGTATGTATAGTCCCAAAAATATACACATAAGAATAATTACAGTCTTTCATTCCTCATCCTTTAAAACGTTCTGTATAGGAACAGAAGAAAGGTAATGATTTCTGTTGCTAAGTACTGAGTTTTGGCTAATTTGATACCAAATAATGGCCTTCATATCTCTAAAATGTTAGAAGAAATCCCAGCTAGTATTTCTCTGAAGTCAAAAAGTGTAGGTGGGGAGGTGCCTGGATGGCTCAGTTGGTTAAGCGTCTGCCTTCAGCTCAGGTCATGATCCTTGAGTCCCAGGATCAAGTCCTGCATCAGGCTTCCTGCCCAGCGGGTGATCTGCTGCTCCCTCTGATCCTCCCCGCCCCGCCATGCTCTCTCTGACTCTCACTCTCTCATTCTCTCTCAAGTAAATAAAATCTTCTTTGAAAAAAATCACACATCTTTTTTTTTAAATGAAGATGCTTAGTATATCTCAACAGATTAAATTGTTTCTTAATGCAAGAACATAGCTTGTAAGTTCAGAAAATTCAGAGAGATTTTTAGTCTTTTGCCAAAATGATAATATGTTTAAAATTATCTCCATGATATGCATTTGCTTTTCTTAGAGAGTTTTGAAGCTCTTTTTAGGGAAGACCCCCTTTTTATTGCCATTGCCACACCCAATAGTGCGTGGTGGTGTTTGTTGAGAGCTGTGGTCTCTTTATTTTAGTTAGACATGATCCCTGTCCTCAGAGCTGTTCTCATTTAGGGAGGAAATGAAGGTGCCAGGTATAGTATGCACAGTCCACCAGCTGGAATTGAGCACATTGCCTGAGGTATTTCAGACAAAAATAAAGACATATGGGTATATAAATGGTATATTATCATTAATTATGAGGTTCTTTGTGGAATAGGTGGACTTGAACCTGATCTCTTTTGGACTAGAGCAATAGTTCTTAAACTTTGTGGGGTGTGGACCCCTCTGAAAGGCTGATAAAAATTATGTGCGTGTACATTTTTTCATTCTATGTTGGAGGTTTGCGGACCTCCTGAAACCTTTCTGGACTAATGGGGTTCATGATGACAGAGGAACTAGGTCAGGTGTTTATGGGAATGAGCAACCAGGTTGAATACAGGATCCAGAAACAGGAATATCCGTTGTCCATAAGGAAAAGTGATTGGCTTTGAATGGATCAGAGGTTTTCAGCAGGTTTGTTAGACAAAGGTTGCTGTATCCTAAGATAGTGAATAAGGTCACGAAGATCCATAAGCTCATGGACAGGCCCTCTTGTTGTATTTGTTAGGTGACAACCATTGTAAGAATATACACTGAACTGATTGATCTGTCAGTCATTTGGTTATCTGCAACAGTGGAGACCAATTTGGGATGGAGGAGATAAGTGGGGCTGGAGGGATGTGTGGAGAGCCTGGAAAGACTGATTAGTCATGGGTCTGTTGTGATCAGCAAAGAATGACTCCAAGAAAGAACCCTAAAATGGTTAGACTTGATATTTAAAATATTTGAAGTAGGAATTGGGTATTTAGATGGAAATAGTCTGCAAGATAAGATGTGAGGCCCAGACTAAGGAGAGCTTGGGAGAGAGGTACTAGAAGTGGCAGTCATCCATGTGCAGATGCTCATTGCAGTGGATTGCACAGCTGCTTGAGTTGAGCTTAGTTCTCTGCCCTCCTCCTGTCCTTTGCTGTGCTGCCTTCTGTTTCCCAGGGACTGGAGCCTGGCTCAGTACTCAGTGAATGGAACTGTCTTCTGGGCCAGGGCTTTAGCTCTTGTCGTATTGTCCCGTGCTGTCATAAGCCTCATGTTTCTGTTGTGTTGGCTTGGGTTCTTGTCTTCAACTCTCTTCTCTCTGGGGTCCTCTGCACTCTCGCTTTGCTGTGCTGTAGAGTTATCCCAGATGCAGAACCAGCCCTCACTCTCACTCTTGTTCTGTTTTTTGGTGTAATGTCTAGCTTTATTTGCAGCTCCTTCAGCAGACTGCCTCCTCTGGGAACCTCAACACCCTGAGCAGCCTCCATCCAATGGGAGGTAAGTGTTTCACGGCTGTGGAGGAGCAGCAGCAACCAGGCCACCAGACCCAGCTAACAACAGTCTGAGAGTTTTGCACCGTTTGTACAGAAAACAAATTTTTCCCACCTGTTCATAAACCTGACGTAAGATGAACATCCCACGTCTCAACTGCTTTGTCTCTGGAAGGTGGTTCTTCTAGTTGCTATGCAGGATAGCTCTGGGGTTGTCTGGTCCCCACCCCTTTAAATCTCTGTTGAGGAGGAAAATGGAGAAGAGTTGTTAGCATGAGTAGACTATCTGAGGCCATTTTGATAAGGAGGAAATTGCAGGAACTCTTTTTATTTCCCCAGTAAAGTGATTTTTCCAGTGACTCTTTGAAGCCTAAGAAGGCATCCATGCAAAATGGCCAGAAGCTGCTAGAAACTAGGCAGTTTTTCTGTGTGTCTTATGCATGTTATCTCTTAGGTGAATTACCTTTTATTGCTGTTAATGCTGTTAACATACATGGAAAACTTGGGGCACCTGGGTGGCTCAGTGGGTTAAAGCCTCTGCCTTCGGCTCAGGTCACGATCCCAGCATCCTGGGATCGAGCCCTTCATAGGGCTCTCTGTTCAGCAGGGAGCCTGCTTCCCTCTCTCTCTGTCTCTCTGCCTGCCTCTCTGCCTACTTGTGATCTCTCTCTCTGTGTCAAATAAATTAAATAAAATCTTTAAAAAAAAATACATGGAAAACTTAATTGAAAGATACTTGAGTGATGACAAAATGGGGCTCCACAGACAAATTTGAAGGTGGGGCCATCAGACAAGTTAGTGGAGGTGGGGAATGAAGTATTTCCAGAGTCCCTTGCTGCTTCCCCTTCTGCAGTGGATAAAGGCTCAGCAGGTACATTTGAGAAAGGGGTAGTTAGTGTCAGGTGAACTGCATTTTGGTATTTGAAAATTTTTGATAGTGGTTCACTTTGTATCAGGTACTTGGAGTTTGCTGTGTTTTTGGAAATTTGCTAGATTATAAATCTGTGTTGTAGTTCAGTTTTTATTTTCGCTAACTCTCCCCTGAACCACCACCACCCATCTGCTTTTCCATCATCCGGCAAATGGTTTGCAACAGTCAGTGCAGTTCAGATTCTTGCTCCTTTTAACTGTTGCTTGGAGGTTTTTCCCCTCAGTGTTTTTTTTCTGCTCCTTCTGATGAGTAATCTGTTCAAGGAGTGGTTTTTCTTTAGTCTTTCTCCTTACTGCTTTTCTCACATGCATCCTCCTCTGTTACAACCCCCCTCGGTCACCTGGATCCTGCTGTGTTTTCTGCCTGTAAACCTCCACTGGAAGGAGCAAATCCCCTATGCAGTAGGAGTGAGGGGCTCAGATACAGTTCTGTGCCACGAGTTTTGTCGTTTGTTCTCTTGGTCGCTTGGCTTCGTGGTGGACCACAGATCTAACCCTCTCTTGGTTTCCTAATTGCCAGTCCCTGTTAGGAATATTCACTTGGGGTGGCATGCTGTTGGATTATATATCTCTTCTCTTGAGGAAATGATGTCAAGTTTCTTGAGGAGTTGAGTGATATCTGAATCTTTTTAGAGCCTTGTAGTGTTGCTTGTAAGGCTTATCGAGAATAGTTCCTCTTTGGGACCAGCCTTTACCAGTGTGTGCTGTCATTGCTGGAACGGATACAAGGAACCCGTATGTGCTGGCTGATCTCTTGCTTTGGATGTTGCAGGGTTAAATGCAATGCAGTTACAGAATCTGGCTGCTCTAGCCGCTGCAGCTAGTGCAGCTCAGAACACACCAAGTGGTACCAATGCTCTTACTACATCCAGCAGTCCCCTCAGCGTACTCACCAGTTCAGGTAAGTGTGTCATTAGAACTAGTATTCCCTTGTGTGCCTTGGGCAGAATCCCCAGAGAGGGTTCTGTCATTCTGGAGAGTAGTTAACGTCTATTTCCAAAGGGGTCAGACTGTGAACAATTAATTTTCAAATGTCATCTTCTGACTTAAGAGAAATCTCATAATTTTTAGTTTGTTACAACTGTCTTTGACTCTGTGTCCTACAGCGACAATTATTGGAGTCAGTAACTGAAAACCTCTTTACGAAGAGAATGCTTGAGTAGTATCAGTCTCGTGTTTTGGTTCCTGTTGACATGCGAAGCATGTGTTGGCTCGAGTTTTAACCCTGGCTTTCTGATCACAGGGTCCTCACCGAGCTCCAGCAGCAGCAGCTCTGTCAACCCCATCGCCTCCCTTGGAGCCCTGCAGACGTTAGCTGGAGCCACGGCAGGCCTCAATGTCAGCTCTTTGGCAGGTGAGGGACAGCTCCTGATGTGATCGGGCTGTTCATTGTGCAGGTAGCACCTTTAAACAACCCTGGTAGGTCACCATTAGACTGAATGGGGTGGCCTGGTAAAGTTAGAAATAATCATGAGATTTCAAGTTAGACCTGAGTTAAATCCCACCTCTCCCCCTTAGCTAGCTGTAACATAATACCACCTTTCTAAGGTCATTTTTTCATCTGCGAAGTGGGAAGAGGACACTTTAAGGGTTGTTAAGTAAATGAGAACATAGGTAAAGTGCTGAGCACATGACTTAGTACGGTGTCAGGCATGTAGAATGTGTTTAAATAAATATTAGCTGTTATTTTGACGATAGGGTTTACTCACATCTTGTCTGAGACCACACACGCACCTTTTCAGCACCCAAACCTGGGATGCTTATTTTACCACATTCCATCTCTAAGTGAGAAAGTGACAGAAAAGTCAGAGAAAATGGAGCAAGTCAGATGTAAGTGGTATCACTTCTTGCACAGGTTGGAAAAAGGTAATAGGAAGAGCCATATGTGGGTGTGGCATTTTTTAATGTTCCTGTGAGCAATAAGGTCTGATGAGTGTCCTCAGATTTGACCATTCCGATGGGTGGTCCTCCTCAGGGAGAAGCTGAGAGAGAGAGAAATGGGAGAACTTTGGAGTTTGTTTTGGTGCCACTCAAGTCTTTCCCATATGTTAATCCTGCTCTTCCCACCGCGAAGGGATGGCTGCTTTAAATGGTGGCCTGGGGAGCAGTGGCCTTTCCAACGGCACCGGGAGCACCATGGAGGCCCTCACGCAGGCCTACTCGGGAATCCAGCAATACGCTGCTGCAGCACTCCCCACTCTGTACAACCAGAACCTGTTGACACAGCAGAGTATTGGCGCTGCTGGAAGCCAGAAGGAAGGTGAGTAGAGCTGAGAGGCTACAGTTAGGGATGGGGAGGAGGGGGCAGGGGGGAGATGACTCCACCTACAGCAGAGGTGAAGGCAGGGCAAAGGCCAGGAGGACCAGTCAGGCAGTCAGGCTGATGCTTTTCTTTGGCACTGTCAGACATAGACTCTGTAAGCTGTAAAGCTCTGTAAACTGTAGTCTCCTTTTGGAATGTTTTCTGGTTGTAGCTCAGATCAGAACCTCTGCCCTCCTGTGATCAGGCTTCAGGTTTTAGGTGAAGAAACGTACTGACCTTACTGTGTGATAGCATTTCACAGTCCTTTTTTATTTGTTAGGAAGTCGTCTTTGTGGATTACAGATCTGTCAGAGGGTATTTTCTGTCTAGGTGTCCCTTTTAAGCTCTTTTATTTGGCATTTTCCTCATTTTTTGATCTCCGTTTTTCCTGATTGAGGACAGGCTGAAGTTATGGGGCAGAAAGAGTTAATGGCCCACGTTGGTGAATTAGGAAATGTGTGCTTTGACATAAATGATACTAAGTGCAGGAGAGACTTTATAGGCAGAAAGAGGCCTGACAATGGTTCGCATGAATACACGGTCCTGCCGACACCTTTGTGTTCCTAGTTGACTGGATTTCTGTAGCCAGAAGCTGGCAAGGTTTAAGCACTAATGTGGGGGAAAGACACATATCCTCTCTTGCCATGCCAGCGAGGATTCCTGGGATAGTGCATCCTCACCTGTTCTGAGTCAAGATGCTTCTGTGCCCTAGGAGGTCATAGTGGGGGAACTGAAAAACTGTGGAGACAGACAGTAAAGCAGGAAGAGCATGGGGTGTACCACATGGTGCTCTGAAGACTGATGAATGGGAAAGAGGGATGGAGAGTGCCAGAGGCACAGCATTTTGTGTAGAATGGTCAGAGGCCTCTCACTTCACATCTAAGCAGAGTCCAGAGGAAGTAAGAAAGCAAGCCATGCATGTATCTAGAGGAAGAAGAGTAATGGGGGCAGAGGAACACCAAGTGCAAAGGCCCTGAGGCAGCACTGTTCTGTAATGTGTTTGGCAACAGCAGGGAGGCCTGGTGGCTGGAAAATGGCAGGACTGCAGTTCAGTAAGGCTTCTTTGGTTAGAAAGTCATTGAGTAAAGTGGTTGGAAAAGGAAAGCATATTTTATTTTTGAGCTCAGTGTTAAACATGGGCACTTTTTAAAAATGTGATTTCTTTTTAATGAGGTGCACTTTACATATGGTAAAATTCACCCTTTTGGGAATATATAGCTCTATGAGCTTTAATGAACATGTACAGTCATGTAGCCACATTTCGTAGATGGAGAATGTTTCCATCACTCCCAGAAATTCCATCATGTCCCTTTGTAGTCATTCCCTGCCCCTACCCCTGCCTTGCAGCTGCTAGTCTTTGCTCTTCCCATAGTTTCTGGCACAGTTTTGAACCTGTTTTGTTTGTAATCTCTTTCTGCCCTTTTTCTCTGTGTCTGTATAAGCCTTTAGTCTCTGGTTTTATTGCACCATACACAAGTCTGCCTACTTTATTGTTCTTGCACTCACTCCTCCCACAAGGTTGAATTCTGATACCCCTCAGTGGGAAGGAGTCTGTTTCAGTGATTGCTCTTCAGTTTCCTGTTTTGTATTTGGATAATGTTCAGTTCTCCAAAAGATTCTGTTTGTTGGGATACAGACAGGTTTTGTTTTTTTGTTTTTTAAGATTTATTTATTTGAGAGTGAGGGGGAGAGAGAAAGAGGAAGAATTGGGGGAAGGGCAGAGGGAGGGAATCCTTAAGCAGACTCCCCATAGAGCCTGATGCGGGGCTCGATCCCAGGACCCAGGACCTGAGCCGAAATCAAGAGTTGGCTGCTTAACTGACCAAGCCACCCAGGGGTGCCAGGATATAGACAGTTTAACTCAGGTAGAAATGAGAAACAGTGGTACCAGGGTGGGGGCGGGTGGAGTGGGGGGTGAGCTTGACACTGATGCCTTTTCAATTGATGGGTATTTTGAAGGTCCAGAGGGAGCCAACCTGTTCATCTACCACCTGCCCCAGGAGTTTGGAGATCAGGACTTGCTGCAGATGTTTATGCCCTTTGGGAATGTCGTGTCTGCCAAGGTTTTCATAGACAAGCAGACAAACCTGAGCAAGTGTTTTGGTATGTTGGCTTCTTTACTGGTGTTGGGAGGGTTAAGTGTCATTACCACTGAGAATGAGAAGGGGCTGATAGCAGGAAGAACTGGGTTTATGTTTGGGTTACTGTTTAACTCAGCCTTGGGCAAGACATCATGACCTCTTGTTGAGCCTCAGTTTTTTTTCATTTCTGTAGCAGGACGGTGGGTTTCTATCCACACTGTTGTTCCAGAGGTTAAAAAAAAAAAAGGTATGGAAATAGCTTGGTCCAAAAACTTAAAAGCGCTTTGTAGATGTCAAGTGGTATAGTCAGGAACCTAATCTTATCTCGTGTGATATAATTTCCAGACTTCTCATCCCTGCTGAGAAATTTGGACTATCAGACTATGCTCATAAGCTGTCTTCTGTGTAGGGAGGACTCAGAATCTCCTTGCTTCATCATGCCCCTCACCCAGGGTTCTGCTTGGACACACAGGTTTTGTAAGTTACGACAATCCTGTTTCGGCTCAAGCTGCCATCCAGTCCATGAACGGCTTTCAGATTGGCATGAAGCGGCTTAAAGTGCAGCTCAAACGTTCGAAGAATGACAGCAAGCCCTACTGAGCGTGCTCCCCTCTGAGACTGGAGTGAGAGGGTCTTCTGGTAAGTGGGGGAGGAGCACCCTTAATGATTCGAAGCCCTAAGGCTGTGTGTTGACAGCCCTGGACCCTGATCCCTGCCACTCTCGCAGGCACAGCTTGCCCTGAAGACTCGGCTACTGCCTTCTGTGGGAGTTTCGCTTCGTACAGAGGACGAGTTTGTGCTTTGGTTTCCAGTGTTTTACTTTGGAGTTTAGGTGCCATATCCTGAGTTTTTTTCTTTATTTAAAGTTTGCTGTGTTTGTAACCAGTGTGTGTTGAGAAGGACCAACATCAAACCGCCCTGGGGGAGGAGGGGGAATGGAGAAACATTAAAAAAGAAGATCAGAGCTTTCCCCAAACTGCCCCGAGAGAGAGGACTGAGTGAAACCAAAAACTGACCCCAGAATCTACCTTAGTGCAAGAGTGGGTGAAATGAGAACTGGCACCCAAGAGCCTTCGGGGGTGGAAGCAGGGCTGCCTTTGGAGGTGAGGAGAGTTGACCCACACCCAGTGGCCCCGGGAGCTGGAGGCTGAAGCACTTCCCTTGCTGCCTGCTGAGTTCTTGCCACCTATTTTTCAGATTCTTGTGCAAGATTCCTGCTCCTTTTTCCCAAGAAGGGGATGACAGTTCTTTGGGAATAAAGGACCTGTTAAATTAGCCTGACATGCAAAAAGCAGGGAGACATCACGCATTACCAGCTTTGCCAGCTGCCCATTGGTGTTGGATCGGCTCTGCCCGGCTGGTGGCTGTTAGGAAGAAGAGAGTCTAGTCAGAGAGGTCGTTTTTAGTTTATTTCAACACCACACGGCCCGTTTCTAACAGGCCCTTTAAACAAGGCCTCTAGAGAAGACACTGTCTGGTTTCCTTCCTTGTAGTTGACCACAGCAGAGTGTTACTTCCATCCCAAGGCAGTTTTCTCCTGAGGGTAAATCCAAGAAGGGCTTATGGTATGTAGCTGAAGGGGGCTCCTCTCCTGAGCAGAGTGATCAGAAGCCATTGCCTTAGGGGAGGAGGGGGAGCCTGCTTCTTGGTGGACCTGAATCGGAAGGGCTCTTTAAGCCAGAGTGCTGCATTCCTCTGTGGCCAGCACTCAACTACTTAGGAGGATGAGAAATCTGCACTTGCTTCCTTCGTTGAGGGGTCCCAACTGTAGTACTCCCCGCAAGGCAGGCCTCTCTACTAACCACTGCAGCCCCTTCTGCTCTTGGGGACAGAGGAGACCGCAGGACATTTGCAGCCTCCAGATGGATTTCGTGTTCATTTACCTCAGTATTACCATGTTCATTTTTGTCCTCGTGCTTACAGTTAGCTCCCTGCTGCCTCCCACAGGTCTTACTCCAGCTCTTACCTGTGACCCACACAGCCTCTGGGCCCTGCCTCTGCTCCAAGAAATGCTGTGGGGGTGGAGAGCCAGAAAGGACGTGCTGTTGGGAATGTGCACTTGGGCAGAGGTAGCCCTGTTGGGATCTGACTCTTAGCCAAGGCCGGGGACTGGGTCCTTGCAATCTTCAACCTCACAAACATCAGTCCTGACCCCTAGCAGTAGAGATGAGACTAAAGGGGTTGGTTTGGTATTAAGTCAGATGGGGGGCTCTCTCCTTGTCATGCTGTCCATTTGGGTCACAGACAGGGATTGACCATCTTGCTGTTGTACAGGTAGTTTGGTGGTGTTGGATTATCCCATTGAAGCAGGGACAGCTGTTCCCTTCTCATAGTGATATCTTGGGTCTGTTGTCCTCTAAGAGACGTGAAACATACTTCTTAAGCTGAACCACGTAAACTTGAATTCCGCGCACTGGGAGAAATGTGTCCTGTGTTTCAAGGATAAAACTGTTCCAAAGGCTTCCAGGGTCATGATGGGATTTTTTAAATAAATGCAAAAAATAAAAATAAAAAAGAAAAAAGAAAAAAAGAAAAAAATGCTAGGTTGGGGAGGCGCTGTTCTGAATCCCAACCGGCTGGAACCAAGAATGTCGTTTCTATTTTTATAGAAGTTTTATACAGCTCCGGGGTGGAGAATATTTATTACCTAAATTATATCTCTGGAAAAGGCCAGGATTTTGTAGAATCCAGAATGTGATTGTTGTACACACAGGGTGCTGTGTATGATTGAAACTACTGACTCTCCGTGGCCCGTTTGCAGCCCAGCTAATAATCTGCCAGAGGGGAAGGAGTTAATGCTGTGAATTGGCAGAGGAGAGAGCTGTGCTCCCCAGGGTGCTGCCGGTGCTGCCATAGCTGACCTTCTGTTCTGTCTTCCTCCTTGGCCATCGTGGGGTTTTCCAAAGCCCAGAATTCCACTCCCATCCCCCTCCTCCCCCATTCCACTATTATTTGTCCTGGGCTCTGGGATCTTATGAAACGGCTTTTCGAATAACATGAAAGGCAAAGGTGCAATCAGCCTGCCTTTGATAGCAAACCCAGAGGTTTCCTACCTGTTTGTGGGGTTCTCTTTTCTAAAAGGAGTGTGTGCCGCAGCAGGGCCCTGGGCTGCCGTAGCGGCCAGCTGGTGAGACCAGGCACTTCTCTGTGTTCTCCTTTCCCCTGCCCCGTGAGTGAGCATAGTAGCACTGCCCTCGAGCACAGTTCTCTCCCCAGGCCAAAGATGGTTTGTGAAGAAGCTGCTGCCCTGCAAGTCTCCTGGTGTGGAAGGGTTCGGCTCGGAGAGTGGAGACTAGCAGTCAGGTCTTAAGCAATCCTTTCCTGTTGTGTGGGGGTTTCACTTACAGAAATGTGTTTTCTGCCTATAGTTTTGTTTCTTACTTGGGTTTCATCATGAAATTGATTTGCCTTGAATGCAGCCAGATACTGTCTCCTGGGTCCCACATGAGTGGCCAGGGCCTGCATGGAAGCTAAGAGCTTGGATTTCTGGAAACAAAAGGCCATCCCCATAGAACAGAGGAGAAATCCTGGCCCTCTCCCCTAGAGAGTTTCCCCCACCCCAGCCATTGTCTTCTACTTTCTCCTGGGTTTGAGGAGGGGAGAGGCTGGAGCTCTGCTCCACCAGAGACCTATCTTCTCCCCCTACGGACTTGTTTGGGCGCCTCAGGGGAAATCCAAGCCTTAGGTTCCCTTCTGTCTCTGGCAGTTGGATGTTTTCTTGGTGTCCTCCATGTCCTTTTTGACTTTCCCTGTGTCCATTGTTAGCATGTGCAAAAGTTCCCTGTCATTACCCAGCCCCCGCCCCGCCCGCCTCCTCATTTCAGGGCTGTACACAGTGAGTGTTCCTCTTTTCTCTCTCTCTCTCTCTCTGTTTGGATGTATTGCTCTGTGTAACTCAGTGGGTCTCCCTCTTTCTGGTTTGTTTTTTTTTCTAGATTCCTGCCGTTTGTTCATCGTTGTGCCTAAAGCATGTCGATGTGGCGTCAAGTACATCGTCCAAATCCCTGTCTCTTCAGCTTCTCTGATGCTTGAACTCTCACCTTTGACCTTGTGTTGACCTTTGATGCTGACGTGTATTTTTATTATGTTTGTTTCTTTCTTTGTTATTTCTTTTTTCTTTTCCTTTTTTTTTTTTCTTTTGTGCTGCCAAATTGGTTTTGCTAGAACGACTGCTGAAGGGGAAATATTTAAACTTGCATTTGAATATAAAAAAAAATCTATTTTTCTAGAACTTCATAAGATAACCACTTGATTTTGTGATTCCAATTCTTTGTAACTGTCTTCAGAGCAGCCCTACTAGCACATACCGCGTGATGTTTGTATTTCTGTGAACACACAGCCAGTCCGTTTCTAGGCTTTGTTTCTCTGTGTGCTTAGTTTTAAAGACAACTTTGAAGTAAACAATGAAATAAAAGATGTCACTAAAACCTTTGAGGCTCCTGAGCACATTTTGCTGATACAGTTTGTGGGGCTTGAGGAGACCGCATGTGTTCTTTTGTTTTTCTGAGTTCTCAACTGCAGAAAACACCTGAACCCCCTTTCCTTTTTGACCGCAGGCTGCAGTTTGGGCCCCAGCCAGCCCTTTTTCTTTTTCTTTTGTGGTTCTTCCCTGTAGTGACCCTGCAGGGAGCCTTCAAATCCCTCTGGCCTCTTCCGGCAGCCCCTCAGCCCCGCTGTGCCCACCTCCGTGCTTGTTCCTACAGTCTCCACAGCAAAATGTGATGCTTTGATTTTTTTTGTTTTGTTTTTGTTTTTGTATGGTTTTTGTGTTTTTGTTTTTAATTTTTCCTTTCCTACTAAGATTATGCCCAGAAAAAAACAAGTTTTGCATGTTTCCTGCTGTTTCTTCACACCTTCGTATATATCACCTTCACCTCTCTGTTTTCTATAGTTTGTGCAAAAACTGACCGATTTAAAAGGGTTTCAAAGAAGCTGTTTTAAATTGTTGTGGGGTTATTTTTTTCAAAATTGTATTGTTTTATTTTGAAGTGGCAACTTTCTCCTCTATTGCCCTTAGAGTGTTTGCCTGTGCACTTAGACTGTCACCTCGTGTGGCCTCCAGGCCTCAGCGGGGGGGCCCCCCAGGAGGCTGGCTGCTCTGCTCAGAGGTGGGTGGGAAGGGGGCCTGGAGAGGCATGAGGAGCAGAGATAGAACCCAGAAGGCGGCTGCAGGGGTGGGGGTAGGGGGTGGGCAAGAGGTTTAGCACATAGGGTAGTGAGCGCCCCTCAGCCCTGAAGAAGGAGGGTGCTCTTAACCACTCGGAGGAGGCCATCCGTGCACTAAGCGGCAACCTACCTGCCAGCGCTTTTCCTGGGTGACAAGCACAATACTACAGTCTTCACACTGTTTACAGCCCTGGGCACCACCTACCCCACACTGGCTCTTCACCACAGCTCTGCTCTTGCTTAGCTAGTGGGGTGGGGGGTGAGGGCAGGGATTTCTTCTTCTTCTAATTCTTTTTTTTTTTTTTTTTTTTTTTTTTTTTTTTTTGAGTGAAGAGCCAAATAGCTACTGTCCCTGGGTGCCAGGCAAGCCAGTTCCCTGGTTCCCTGACGGGAACTTGCCCTCCTCTCTGTGGCACCATCCAGCCTCAGGGTCTTAGGGACTTTTGAGTAAGAATGTGAATGATGGAGGGAGAGGCCAGAGGAGACTAGAGGTCACAGGATGGATCTGTGGAGGTAAGAGGTTTCAGAGGGAGGAGTTTGTGATGGATTCCACCCAGACCTAAGCTGCTGGTGGGTGGGACAGCTGGGAAGTAGGATTATCCAGGGAAGGGTGAAGAAGGGGGTAGCCGGAGGGACTGGTGGGGGGAGGGGGGAGGAGGAAGGTAGAAGCACTGTTAGCATCATCCACGCAGGGGTTGATGAAGGAAGGGATCGTGGCAGAATTTCTGCTCTGGGACCCGCAGGTTGCCTAGTAGTATGCTTGAGGCCACTCCTACTAGGAAGAAAGGGCGGCCAGTGGAGGCCCAGTGTATGGTAGGCCGCTTAATTTCCTGGAAGGGGTGATTGGGTGGAAAGAGGCCAGGAACCCCAGCCTGAGCAAGACTGCCGTGCACCCCACAGTCTGACTGCACAGAGCCGCCTCTGTTGGCAGAAGGCGCTGAGGCTCCCCTTCCTGTGTATTCAGAATCCGTGTTTGCCAATATATTTTGCTTTCAATTCCAAGAGGAGCTCTGGGAAAACCTGTGGATAAAACCAAATGCCAAACGTCGGACGTTGTTTCCTTTTTCTTTTCTCTCTCTGATTGTTTTAATTGTTCTGTGGTGGTTTTAATGGATTTGAGACCCTGGAGCGGCAGCTGCCTTTCTGATTTCCAGCTGCTTTTTGTGAATAATTTAAAAAGAAAAAAAAAAAAGAAACTTTACATTTTGGAGACAAACCTGTGTGAGTTTTTTATTGGTACAAACGTTGTATTTAACACTAGGGGTTTTGTACAGTTTTTTGCCTTTTCTACTAGAAAACAATGTAAAGTGATTTCACAATGTGAAGAGAAAAAAAATTGCCACTATGACCAAACGCACAGTCTGTTCTGCAGCAACAACGGGATTCAATCAACTCAAAAGTCGTGATTCAGCCGTAGAAATGCTTTTCCTTTACCTTGTTTGAGCTTTTCCTTTCTTTCCTGTTTTGATTTGCAAAAGAAAATGTCTTTTTTGTGTGAACTTGTGTTGTACTATGTAGAAAATTATGGATTTTACTTTAATGGTTTAAAAAAAAAAAAAAGGCAAGAAGAGCCTTTGTCGCTTTTCTGACCTGATCACAGAGTTTGTGTAGTGGATTAAAAAAGAAAAAAAAAATGTTACAAGTTTGGAGCAAGGGAGTATGTGTTTAAAAGGAATCTCCTTCCTTTTTTGTGTGTTTTTCCTTTTGTCCCAATGGGGAACCTAAATCTGTTTTAATTGCACAGACACACGGACAAAAAGTCATTTTGTATCTGCCAAGTGTGGTACCTTCCTTTGTTTATTTGCTATTAAACTGTTTGAGAAGAACTGATGTTGTCTTCAGAGTTGTTACTGATTTGTTGGGGTGGTCAGTGGGGTCCATGGGGCTGGGGGGGTTGGTGGCATCCCTGAGGAAGGGGTAGGAGATCCTGGTAAGATTTCATCTTGATGTGCCGGTTTCATGAAACTAAACTCGCCTAAGGCTCCTGCAAGAACAGAATTTCTCCCAGAAAACTACCTTCTTCGTTGTCCTCCATTCTTCTAACAGTGTCCCTGCTGACACAGGAGCACCTTCAAACTTTTTTGGCAACCTTAATTTTTGTGGTTCTTCCATTTCTAGTATAGTGGCTACCACACTGCAGAATTGGCCAAACTTGTGAGTGCAAATCCCTTCTCTGGGCCTTTCATGCTCCACCCCAAAGTGGTTCAGCACGTTTCCCCCCTCATCCTGAACTCAAAACAAGGTCACAGAAGGGCATTTCTAAGATTTAGTTTACTACTCAAATTCTAGATCAGGCTCCTAAGTGAAGCCCAACAAATGAGCCTCCTCAGGCATCCGAGAACCGCAGGCTCAGCCCCGGACTGACAGCGTAGGGGCTTGCAACCAGCACGTGGGCTGTGGGGTGGGCGGTGCCTCAGCCTCCTCAGAGTCCCTCTTTGTGGAGGTGACTGGAGGAGCATTTCTCAGTGGCTGTTGCACTGAGTACTAGCCCATGAAATGTTCTATGAAGAGTTCCGAATGCAAATACATTCTGGAGTAGTGCTTTCTCATTTGCATCCATTAAAAATAAGTTTAAAAGAGGGGTGCCTGGGGCGCCTGGGTGGCTCAGTGGGTTAAAGCCTCTGCCTTCGGCTCGGGTCATGATCCCAGGGTCCTGGGATCGAGCCCCACATCGGGCTTTCTGCTTGGTGGGGAGCCTGCTTCCCCCTCTCTGCCTCTCTGCCTACTTGTGATCTCTCTCTCTCTGTGTCAAGTAAATCTTAAAAAAAATAAAAGAGGGGTGCCTGGGTGGCTTAGTTGGTTAAGTGTCTGCCTTCCCCTCAGGTCATGATCCCAGAGTCCTGGGATCCAACCCACCATCGGGCTCCCTGCTCAGCAGGGGAGCCTGCTTCTCCCTCTCCCTACCCCTGTTTGCGCCCTTGTCTCACTAGAGCTCTCTCTCAAATAAAATCTTTAAAAAATGTTTAAAAGTGACAACTTTGTATTACTCTGTGGTAATTATCCTAGCTAATGTTAATTGTTTGCCACAGTCCAAGTGCTATGGGAACACTTGATACATGTTATATGTTTTAATTTTTAGAACATCCCTGGGAAGGAGCTACTGTTCCCATTCCCATTTTGTAGATGAGCAAACTGAGGTTAAAAGAAATTGGATTGGGGCACCTGGGTTGTGCAGTCGGTTAAGTGTCCAACTCTTGGTTTCAGCTCAGGTTGTGATCTCAGTCAGGGTCATGAGGTTGGGCTCTGTGCTGAGTGTGGAGTCTGCCTGAGATTCTCTTTCCTTTCTCTGCTCCTCCTACTGGTGTGCACACGCACGCATACTCGCTCGCGCTCTCTCTCTTCCCCTTAAATAGAAAAAAAAAGTGTTGCCCGCTAGAAAGTGGTGTGCGCTAAGAATCAAACCAGGTCTGCCCATCTCCCAAACCCTTTCTCTTAACCACGACTGAGGAGAAATAACTCCAGAAAAGCAAATAAATATGCTTTAGTTAATCTAAAATGTCTTCTTGCTACACGATTGCACAGTCTTCTAGGCTCTAGTGAAGGGAACCTGGGGAGCCTCTAGCTCTGTGGCTCCCCCAGGTGGTGGGTGAACCATTGCAGCCTGGCCCTCCTTAGAGCCGACGTCTTGGTGTGGAGGGATTTATTGGTAACTCACTGCTCCCAGAGAGGTGGTCAGCACGATCCAGGAAGGGTCACTTCCCGTGAGGAATGGAGTGCTTCCTGCATTATTCCTGCCACTCAGGTCTCTCCTGGATCTGGTGCCACCTAAACTATTCTTTACCTAATTTTTTTTCTGCTGTAGCAAAATACATATAATGCAAAATTTTCTTCTTAAACAATTCCCCCAAGTAGATCATTCAGTGGTATTCAGCACATTCACGGTCTTTTTTTTTTTTTTTTAAAGACTTTATTTATTTGACAGATAGCACAAGTAAGCAGAGCAGCAGGTAGAGGGAGAGAGAGAAGCAGGCCCTCTGCCGAGCAGGGAGCCCAATGCGGGGCTCGATCCCAGGACCCTGGAATCACGACCTGAGGCGGAGGCAGCCGCCCAACCTATTGAGCCACCCAGGCGCCCCTCACAGTCTTGTATAGTCCTCGCCACCTGATGTTTTAAATCAGCTTGAAATGCACCTATTCAACTTCACCTCATTCTGACCGTTAATATTTACGAAATCACAAGGTTTTGTTTTTAAATGTCCACTAATTATATGTGTTTAAATACACATTAAACTACATAACCAATATGTATGAAGTGCCCATAAGGCGCTTTCTCAAAGAGGGCGTGCCACACGCTGCAAAATGGGACCAAGATGGAGAGTCGGGCTTGGAGGGCACCTTTCCTGACCTGTTTCTTCTGTAAGGACAAGGTGGTGGAACCTGAAGTTCTCTCCATCCAGCACAGTTCTCCTGTCACTCAAGATCCAGGTGGCAGATCTTGTCTTGAAGTCTTTGCCTTAGGACTCTTGTTCTCCTGAGATAGAACTTGATATAAAAATAGAATGTGACGTACGACATCTTTCAGTGTGACATCGTACTTAGGCTGTTGTTTCTCTTTAAAATTTACCAAAAAGAGTGTGCCCGCAGTACTATTTTTAACCTTTTTTAAAAATGTAGGCTTGTGCACCTTTATAGCTTGGTCTGCAACTGTATTCCTTTTTAAAACCCACACGCAGTCCCCTTTTATGTTTGAATAGATTCCTCAGCACCTAATTGTTGCCACAGCCCTGGTTCCCGGCTCTCCACAGAGGCAGCCTCTGCGTCGGCTGCCCTGACCCTCCCAGCTCTTCCACACACTGTGTTCCCCTGAGCCTCTCAGTCCCTGACGAAGAAAGGCATCGGGAAGGAAACGGGATCAGGTTTGTGACTTCACCGCTGGGAATGTCACGCTTGTGTCTGACAGCGTTGCCCTTCCAGGAGGGATTGTAGATGGCTTTTTCTTGCACCTTCTGCCTTTCTCAAGCATCTTCCTTCTCTCTCAGGAGTCCTTTCCAACCCCCACCATCTGGTGTTTAATTTCTTCTGCATACATTGACTTTTCTCTTTCCTGGTAAAGGCTTCAGCTCTAGGGATGGCTCTTGCTTTTTTAAATCGAAGTCAGAGTCTCGGGAGGGGAAATGGAACATTTCAGCTGGGAAGAGCCATCCTGACACTCCGGCCACCGAGGCTCCAGGGCTCCAGGGCTTCCTGTGTGCCCACCAACACCGCCTCTGCCCCCGAGGGCATCCCACTGTCCTGACGCCTCCTGAGGCTTTAGTGTTTTTAAACCTCTACGATTCACCCACTTACCGGGGACAAGTCCTTGGATCTTAGCATTGTGCAACCATCACCACAACCTAATTTTAGAACATTTTCATCACCCCGAAAAGAAACCCCGTACTCATTAGCAGTCACTCCCCTTCTCAGCTCCCCCTCATTCCCAGCCCCTGGCAACCGCGAAACTGCTCTATAGATTTGCTTATTCTGGACGTGTCCTATAAATGCTGTCATAGGATCTGTGCCTTTTGTGTCTGGCTTTCACTTAGCCTACCTCTCAAGGCATGCTCTTTCCTCCCCCTCCTTGAAAGCAACTCAGAGCCCTAGGCTTGCGCCACCTGCTTCTGCCATTCCTGGTCTTTCTGAGCCTGCCTCCTCGAGAGCCAGCCATGGTCCCGCAGCCACTGTCCCTTCCGCTTCTCCAGCTCCTCCTGTTTACCTGCCACGCCGTCTGCCTCACCCTGCATCTGGCTGTCCTCGGGACCTGTCCGCGCTGTGCAGTTCTACTAGCCACCAGCCACTGTAGCTGTTAAGAGCTCTCATTCCTCACTTTGGCTATGAAGCTCCATGTGACCGGGGCACTGTACTGGCCAGTGCGGGGCCTAGAAATTTCCATCATGGCAGTCTGTTACAGCGGTCAGAACTCTTCTAGAGGTTACTCTGCAGTGAAGAAGACAAAAGAGGGGCACCTGGGTGGCTCAGTCGGCTAAGCGTCCGACTCGATCTCAATTCAGGTCTCAATCTCAGGGTTCTGAGTTCAAGCCCCATGTTGGAGCTGTTCTGCCCATCCTCCCAGCACCTGGCAGCATAGGAAGGTAGAGACTGAGGCACAAAGAAGCTACAGTCCTTGTCACATAGCTGTAAGTAGGAGAGTTGGGTTTTTAACCCATGTCAACCTCTGAAGTCCTGGTAGAGCATATTCCTTTGGGAGGGTCTGAGGTGGGCCCCGGTTTCAACCCCCCTCTAGAACGGAGCTTTGTGCAACAGGGACTGTGCATGTCTTGTTCCTTGCTGGAGCCCTAGGGCCTGGCAGGCAAGTATTCAGGAAACATTTAATGAATAAGTGAACAGATACCAAAAAATGATCATTGCTTCTGTTCAAGAGCTTCCTGATGTGCTTCCCCCCACCCCACTACATTAGAGTTTGATTCAGACATTTCCACCCACTCCGGGGGCACCTGGGGGGTTCAGTCGTTAAGTGGCTGCCTTCGGCTCAGGTCATGATCCCAGCCCTGCATCAGGTGGATGGGGAGTCTCCCTCTGCCTCTCCAGCTCTCCCTGCTTGTGTTCCCTCTCTCGCTGTCTCTCTCAAATAAATAAATGAAACCTTAAAAAGAAAAAGAAATTTCCACCCACTCAGAAGAAAGAGAATAATTTCATACCTTGTTTATGGATTGCCAGCTGCCAACCAATACCCGAGTTCTCCATAGGCCCTCAGTGGCCGTGTAACGAATGACAGCCCCCGTCCCTTAGAGCCACTTTACCGGAGTTCTAATACAATTGCCGAGACAGCCGCCAGGGGCGCCATCCGAGAGGAAGTTGGTGCCAGCCCCTGCTTGGCCATCTGCTGCTGG